CTTCTTGGTCAATACCTGATTGTTTTCAGGGCTAAGATGACCTCCTGTCCCAGGAGTGCCAGGTATCTTTACTACTGTAGTGCTATTGGCCATGGAGCCTTGTGGACGGGTACTGGCTGGTTCAGGTTTTATGGATGAGAAATTAGAGAGGTTGATTAGTGCTGAGTGGCCGAACTGGTTCATAATCTGCTGAGCTTTGGACTTCAGCTCATAGAGCTTATCGAGATCCTGTTTATTTTTGGAGCTGTGAGGACCAAGGCCAATCAAAGGCAGCAGTGTCTATCTCCCCATGATATGCGGAGACTCAAACCTTTCTTCGTTTTTAAGGCAGAACGACATTCCACTGTATGTATGCACCACGTTCCATTCATCCGGGATGGACACTTAGGCAGCTTCCTCCACTTGGCTGTTGTAAATGTGCTGCTGCGAGCACAGGTGTGCAAATATCTGATTGAGTTCCTGCTTTCAATTCTTTTGGGTATATACCCAGAAGTGGAATTGGTAGATCATATAGTAATTCTGTGTTTAATTTTTTGATGAACTGCTATACCGTTTTCCACAGTGTCTGCATCTTTTCCCATTCCCACCAGCAGTGTACAAGGGTTCCAGTTTCTCCGCATCCTGGCCAACGCTTTTTATCTTTTTTTTGTGTGTGTGTGTGTTTGTTTATAATAGCCATCTTAATGGATGTAAGGTGGTATTTCATTGTGAATAAATGGTTTTAAAAATTAGCTAATTAGGCCAAGATTGCAATTTTATTTCATAAAAACTAATAATCAAATCAGTTGTTGCAGAAACTAAAAAAAAGATGGTCCCAGATAAAAAGTGTGCTGTTTACCCATCAGGAAAAAAAAAATTAAGAAGCAAATGATAATAGTACAACTGTGGCTATTTATTGGACTAACAAGGCCCTGTGCCCTGACAGTAACATGCTGTGGGATCTGTTCCCAGGGAAATATGCAGAAGTCAGTTGCAGACACCAAGGGACAGGTTCTGGCTGGCGCAGGCCACTCGGGCCCAGGCTTCCTGACTCCACTACAGAGGTGCAGAATACCTGGTGTACCCGTTTCTGAGCTTAGGGAATGCAGCCTTTTCCCTCAGCTCTTTTTGAAGGGCTCCTTAGTGGTCATCGTGCTGTGACCTACTCTTTCCTAGGAGCCCAGTCAGAATGCAGTCTTAGCTGTGTGTGGTGTGGGTCACATGGGCTCTCTGTGGAGTGGGGCCTGTCTTCCTGGCCCCAATGACCTTTTCTCCCTGTGCCTGAAGACAGGAAGGTTTCTTTATGTTTCATTTATAATTGCTGCTGGCCGAGTCCTGGGACACCAGCACAGACGGCCTGTGTAGACGTGGGTTGTGGGTACTGCTGAGGCTAGGCAGCTGTGTGGGTGTGCTGGTGGAGCAACTACTCCTGCCTTCAGCAGATGCTGACCTGTGGACTGTCGAGGTCTCACAGAGAAGTCAGCCCTTACATCTGACAGGGACAATGGCTGGGCCTCTGGGGGTGCAGAAAGGGGTCATGGTTGGCCTTGGGAAGAGGAGGTGTCTCTTATCCCTCTCTTATGCCCAGGTGTTTCTCCAGGGGCCAGGGATGGGCATGGTTGTGACTGGGGTTGGGGTGCAGGGGGAGCTCTGGAGGTCCTGGGTGGCTGGTGGTCCAGGCAGATCAGTATAGTCTGTGCAGTGGTGGTGGGGAGGGGTCTGTGGGACAAGAGCCGAAGCGTTAGGCTGGGTTTTTTTTTTTTTTTCCTTTTTGTCTTTTTTCGTGACCGGCAACGGATCGCAACCCTCAGTGTCGCGCCCGTACCGGACCGGGACCGGCAACGGGATCGCAACCCTCGGTGTTGCGCCCGCACCTCGCTCAGCCAGTGAGCGGCCGGTCTGTATGTGGGATCCGAACCCTCGGCGGGAGCGCCACCGCGCTCCCAAGCGACGCACTGTAGCAGTGCACCACCGGGCCGGCCCTAGGCTGGTTTTTGACATTCAACTTCTCTCTCCACTCAGGTTCCTGGGGGAAGCCAAGATCCCACTCCGGGAGGTCCTGGCCACCCCCAGTCTGTCTGCCAGCTTCAATGCCCCCCTGCTGGACACCAAGATGCAGCCCACAGGGGTAAGTCCCATTGTCCTCTGCATTAGGTAACTTTCTAGTCTGAGGCCATGCCTGTGGCTCTCTCCCTGGGTCTTGACTACCTGACCCCAGATGTGTGTCCAAGTTCAGCTCCCAGGAACCAGGCCTGGCCCCCCTATGCCCAGAGCTGGCGGTGCCTGGAGGGGCACTGGGCTGGGAGAGATGAGGCTCCCTCCTCGACCCCTGGCCCACCTGCAGGGTTCAAGTCAGCCTTGCCTCCCACCAGCTTGGCTTGCCCCTGGGTCTTTCTTGTCCATCTGGCCACCTCCTGTCCCAAGCTTCCCAGTCAGCCTTGGCTATGCCCTCTGCGCCCCCCCACACCCCCTTCTGGACCTCCCTCCCACACTGCCCAGCCCCCTTCTCCAGATTCAGAATATCTGAGTCATCTGGGTCACAGAACACAAGGGAAGGGAGACAGACAGGCCTCTTCCCTGCCTACTAGGACCTGTCAGACCCCCTTCTTTTTCCTCCATTGTCCTGCCCGCCCCTCCCCCAGCGTTCCCAGTGCTCTCCCAGTACAAGCAGACAATACCCAGCCCTCTCTCTGGCCTCCTGTTATTCCTGTTATTTTTAGCGAGCTAAATATACCCTGCAGGGTTCTTTCTTCCTGGTCAGGAGAATTCCTGGCCTTCCTTCTGGGGTCAGCGCAGCCTCCCAGGATGCACCAGGGAACTATCATTTTTTTTTGACTGGGATTCGAACTTTTGACTTTGGTGTTACAATGCCACACTCTAATCACCAGAAAACTATTTATTGGTTTGGAAATACTTCCTCCCAGTGGGGCCTGGGGGATTCTGGGCTCTGAGTTCTGTCAGACGGGGGACCGCATCGCCCCGTGGGATGTGTTTGTGTGTGTGCGATGTTGGGGCCCTTGGCTGGCCTAGTGAGTCAGGAAGTGGCCAGTCTGGGCAGAGCTCTGAGCGGAACTGCAGTGGGCACTGAGACCTAGAGAAAGAGAGCAACTGGTGCCATGTCCAAGTGGGGACATGAACCAGGGCACATCTCCTAAACTCTCTGGGTGGAAGGGACTTGAATGGACTCCTGGTTCACCGGATGCCCAGTCTACCACCTGCCCGATGCTGGAATTCTCTCACAGCATCCTAGGCCAGTGATGGCTGGGTTGCTTCCTTGATGGGGAGATGCCACTACTGAGGAGAATCCATTCCTTTCTCAGTCAGTGCTCACTGGTAGAACATTCTGGTTCAGTGCAGTATTTATTCGCTGAGCCTGTCTCCGTCACCTCCTGAATCCCCTCTTGCCTTCCTTTGGAGCTCTCCAGTCTCCTAAAACTCTTTGTAGTCAAGGAGGACCCCAAGAACTTCTGGAACTATCCCTTCAAGTGATCCTGGGGGTCCTACCCAACCCTAAAGGCACAGAAAACTAATGAAATTATCGGCATCCAGGCAGCAGGTGCTGAGAGGCGCCGGGAGTAGAGGGATCTGCTTGGTGCTTTTGTGTCGCATCTCAGGGATGGACTGCCTACTTTGCTGTGTAGTAGGCCCCAAAGCCTCCAACCAGGGTTTCTCACTTGCATGCTGAGACATCACCATCTCTCCACCCCAGCCCTGTATGCGCCCATGACACTGGGTTTCCTGCACCTGCTCCCCTTCAAGCTCCAAGGCCCATCCAGCCCCCAAGACAGCTTTCCACACCTGGTTCCTGTCCACGGGCTGAGCCAGGCTGGTGGCCCTCCTCTGGCTTCCTCACCTCTCCTTCTGGTGCTCCTTGTTCTCGAACTCTGTCTGGGTCTCATGCTCACCAACTGGGGAGCCTGCTGCTTTCTCTTCCCTGGCTGTCTGCAGAGCTTGACAATCTTTCACCAACCATGTCTCCAAGAAGGGCGCGTGAGAGCCAGGAGGTGGTGGGTGGGAGGGGAGGGCTGGACCCTGGTTGGTTGAGCCCCCTAGCTGAGCACCCCCTAGCTGGGAGAGGTGGGACACCCTCCCTGCTGCCCAGGAGGCAGTGCTCACCTGTGGAGAGGGCCAGCGCCAGATTCTAGTCCCTGTGCTAGGCCTACAGTCACAGCGCAGCCACAGGCAGCTGGGAAGACCCTCTGAGCTGGGGCATCCTGCCTGGGAGCTGGGCTGGTTGCACTGCAGTGGGAGGCACCTAGAACTCAGATGTGCTTAGAAGGGACGGAGAGCCAGGAGGAGCTGAGGATGCTCACTGGTCACTTGCTGAGGCCTGACTTCTGGGTTGGGCCCACTGAGCAGAGCATGCCAGGCACCCGCATTTGGTCGTAGCTCAGTGTTCTCACCCAAGACACTTTAGACATGGCACGCTGGGCTGTGTGCCATGCAGAGGGGCCCAATCTCCTCACACATCTCCCAGGCTGACAGGGAGATCACCACACCTGTCCTGGAGGAGCCACGCAGCAGGAAGGAAAGAACATACTCACAAATGTATTCAAGAGCAGCTCACTAATGAAGGTGTGGATACAGGTGAAACTGTGTTGGTATCACCCCAATGGCAGGAGCCAGAGTCACATCAGAAAGGGAAGCTCCCAGGTGATGAGAGCACATGAAGTGATGCGGTGGGCAGGGAGCCAGGAGGGCACTGAAGGTGGCAGCAGGGGCCAGGGAGGGCAGACACAATGCTCTGGTGAATCCTGAGCTTCCTTCAAGTGGTGCAAAGATTCTGCCAACCCACCCTGCGTCAGCTCAGGGCCACGTCCTGCACTCTGCTGGCTTCTGGAGGTTGTGAGGGAAAAGCATGACACAGACAGCACCAGGCCTGGCCTGTCCACTCGCACAGTGTGTGTTAGGGGAGGTAGGCGCGGGCTGGCCTGGGGTTTGGTCTCGATGAGCTCAGTGTTGGACAACTGTGGCCCAGGGGCAAGCAACAGGGCTGAGCATGGTCAGATGGGGGAAGGACCCAAAGCCAGGAGGAGGGTGGGGGCCTGGAAGGGTCTGATGAGGCTGTTCCCTGCCTTTGCCTTTGGTTTCCTGAGCTCTCTTAGCCTGGGGGCCAGCCAGAAGCCTCCAGGGTTCTGCTGATGTTGACTGTGGACCCCAAGATAGCAGACAGGGTGCCGTGGGCACCCTGCTCCAGGGCAGCGTGTTTTGGTGGACACGTGATTGACTGATAATGGGCTCGTGGCAGGATAACCCCGCAGTGTTGCTGGGGCTGGAAACCTGAGGAACTAACTGGGCTCTCAGCTAGAGTACCTTGATGTGGAAGGCCTTGAAGAGGGTTCCGCTGGGGTCTCTAGGCCAAGGTCATGTAGTCTGGGAGCGTACAGGGATCACATAAATCCCGCAGGAAGAAAATCTCAACTCTGGTTGTTTGGAGAAGGCGACAGGAGCTGAGTTATGATGTCACAGCAAGGGTGGGAGCACATGGCCCTGGGTGGTGTCCACAGACATGCTCCCTCCCCCTTTACATCCTCAGTAGAGCTAGAGGTCTCCATTATTAACCATGCCTGTTCCTGAAGCAGTGGTCCTTGGAGCCCGCCCCTTGGTGGCGAGATCTATTCTAGAGCCTGGGCTTTAGAGCCTCTGCAGCTGCCAGGGATGTCCTAGTGGCTCCTGGATGGGCTGTATAAAAGGTGGACCTGGCTCTGTGCTGGAAGTCTCCTCCAAGTGCCCGGAGACACCCAGATGTTGCCAATACTCCAGGAGGTTGGCATGGAACGACAGCGTAGAAGTACCTGAGGCTTAGGAAACCCCAGGAAGGGATGCCGGGATGGTCTTTGGGTTCTAGGGCTTGCTGTTCCTTCCTGTGTCTTGTAGAGCGCTGCTCCCAAGCCCCTATGCTGAGGTGCTGGCACCAGGCCATGGTGTGGAGCAGTTACACTCCTGCGACTCTGCCTCTGCACAGAGATGGTGTACCAGACCCCCCAAGTGCTGTGGAGGGAGTGGATAGGCAGCGTGAGCCCCTAGAAATAGAAAGGGGTGCTCTTCAAGGACATATGGTCCTAGGTTCACAGTCCCAAGGGCAGCCAAAGTGTGACTCCTTTAATATTTTGCTTACGTCTCCCCACCTCACTGGAGTCCACTCAGACCACCTGATTTAACACTGCAAACTGCAAGCCCTCCTGCTCCCCTGATCCTTCTTGCCCTGGTTTACTTTTCTTTCTAACATACTCTATAGGTGACATATTTATTTCATTTATTATTTGTTGTCTGTCTCCTCTGCCAAGATTTCAGCTCCTTGGGAACGGGAGCCTTTGTTTTACTCATGGAAGCATCCCCAGTATCTTGAACAACGTTCGGCCCCTAGCAGGTGCTTGATATATATATTTGTGAAGGGAATGAATAAATGAATTAATGAATGAATGGGTCAGGCCAGACATGTCAGGCAGGGTCCCCGCTTCCTATCTTTCCGGTGCAGGCCCAACTCAGGCCGAGCCAAGTGAACACCCGCACAGGACTGGCCTCATGGGACAGGGGCCCATGCTCAGAAGGGCCAGTGCTGGGTTTGATTCTCTCCTGTTGCCACCTGAAATTCTTAACAATTGTTTTTTCCTAATTTTTCATAAGAGGCTCCATATTTTCATTTGCCTTGGGCCTGCAGATCATGTGCTGGTCCTGATCCCATCTTCCTACTACTCCTGGAGGGCGGCAATGAGCTTGAGTGGGTGAGGGGCTTTATCTGTCGGGTGAGATTCCTGTTGCTAAAGCAGAAGCAGGATTTCTCAGGTTTTTAAAAACATTTTATTTTGAAATAATTTAAGATTTTGAGAAAAGTTGCCAAGAATAGTACAAAGACTGTTTTGTCCCTAACCATTTGATATTAAGTTGCCAACCTCCTGGCCCACCATCCTAAACTTTAATGTGTATTTACCCAGTTAACGACTTTCTTCTACACAAAGTACTTCAAATGTTCACGAAAGATTCATATTATATTTCAATTCTATTTTCCACGAACTTTTTGAAGTACTCTCTGTATAACCACAACACAACCTTCAACATGGGGAAACTAACATTGAGACAAAAATTTCATCCAATCCACAGGACCCCCCCGCTTCAAGGTTCATCAGTTTTTTTCAACAGTGTCCTTTATAGCAAAAGGATACGATTAAGGATCATGTGCTGTTTTTCGTTGTTTTGTCTCTTCAGTGTCCTTCCATCTGGGATAATTCCTCAGTCTTTCTTTGACTTTTATAACCTTGTAGGCTTGACGCTTTTGGAAACACAGGCCAGTTATTTTGTAGACTGTCCCTCAACCTGGTTTGTCTGATGTTTACTTGCATTAGACTGGAGTATGCATCTTTGGTGAGAATGTAACACAAGGGACTCATTCTAGAATGTGACTCTAGTTCTACCCTATCAGGTGGTACAGTTTTTTTTTTTTTCGTGTCCGGCAACAGACCGCAACCCTCAGTGTTGCGCCCGTACCGGACTGGGACCGGCAACGGGATCGCAACCCTCGGTGCTGCGCCCGCCCCTCGCTCAGCCAGTGAGCGGGAACCGGTCTGTATGTGGGATCCGAACCCTCGGCGGGAGCGCCACCACGCTCCCAAGTGGCGCACTGTAGCGGTGCGCCACCGGGCCGGCCCAAGTGGTACAGTTTTGATTTGTTTCATTACTGCATTGTTAACCTTGACCATTTGACTATGCTGGCATTTACTGGGTTTCCCCACTAATCATTCATCCACTCCCTTTCTAATAAGTAAGAATTTTATGGGGAGGTACTTCGTGACTCTGAAAATATCCTATTCCTCATCCAACCTTTACCCATGAGTTTTAACATCCATTTGTTATTTCTTGTTTGAATTAATTCAGTAATTTGATGGTTGCTAAATGGCAATATTTAAAATCGATTATCATGTTTTGCATTAAACAGTTGTCCGTCCACTGTAAGGAAAAGCTTTCTCTTCTACTTATTTACTTACCTATTTCAATATGGATTCATCTATTTCTATTTCATTCAACAGTTTAATCTGGTACTATTGCTATTTATTTTCATGTTTAAATTGTCCCAGATTTGGCCAGCGGGAGCCCCTGAAAACTGGCTTCTGTATCCTTTTGACATGTTTTTATCATTCATTGAGCATTTCCTTCCTTTCCGGCACAAAAAGATGGCCCAGGCTCATCTTGTACTTTTCCTGCCCTAGCCCTGGAATTAGTTATTTCTCCAAAGAGTCCAACTTGCCTTTTGATTTAGTGGAGGAAAGCCCCAGGACGGTTGTTAAAAATGCAGATGCCCAGGTCCACCCCAGACCTACTGAATTGGCATCTCCAGAAGCTGGGCGTGGCGTCTGGGTGAGACCAGGGAGGCTGTGCTTGACCGTTCCCTGGCTTGCAGGCACTGAGTGTGCTCAAGTGGCGACACCTGGTGGTGGTTTAGGAACCTGCAGGGTGATGACCATGCTTTGCATCTGGCACTTTCAGTTTCAGTTACAGTTGCCTCCTTCCTGGTCTCTTGGGACGCTGAGCTGGTTCCTGCCTCTTTCCTCAGTGTTCTGAGCCGCCCCTTCCTACCCATCCTGCCCTTCCTTAGCCTGGCTGCCCCTCCCAGGCCCCAGTCATGAGGGTTCAAGCCTGAGACCTGGATACATGGGGGGGCCTTAGGCCCCTTCAGTCTGGGGACAGGGTTTGTTCCCAAGAGTCTTTGAATGTCCCTAATATCACTCAGTAGAGATGCCCAGTGAACTATGCCAGAGCCACTCAGAATGAGATTATGCATCACTAAAAATTATGTTTATAAAGGGTTTGTCAAGACCTGGGGAAATGCTTATAGCTAACATTAAGCAAGAGAGAAGCATTTTATATACAGCAGAGATGTACACTGTTTAAAAAGATTGCAGAGAATTATATAAAAATATTGAGTGGGGTAATTATTGACAGTTTGTTTTCTTTTGCATTATTTTTCTTCTTTAAGGTTTTTGTACCTTCCAAGCTGTCTTAAATAGAGCACTTATTACTTTGATTAATGATTAGCTGCCCCAGGAGGCTCGCTGGACCTGTGGCTCCAGGGAAGGGCTCAGCCAGTCAGTCCCCTGCTGGTCAAGGAGCTGCAAGGCTGGAGAGCCTGTGAAGTTGTACCTTTTCCTGGGGTTCAGGTGTCCCTTTGAACAATGCAGATCTCAGGGTTGGGAGCATGGACAGGAACAATGCAGGTCGGGGTGGGCTGGGAGCACAGACAACCTTCCCTTTTCCATGTGAATGGTGTGACCAGTCACTCTCCTCTCTTGGCTGGTCGAAGCCAGAGCACCTGAGAATGTGATAAGGGGTAGGGGTGCTTCTAGTGGGGGAGAGGGATTAGAAAGGCTAGTGGCACCCCAAGACCCTCTCAGTGCTAACTGTGACCTGAAGCAGAGCAAAGCAAAGCTGAGTTGTCTATGGAGAAGCAGGGGAGGGCCCTTGGCTGAGCAGAGTGGCCAAGGGGACTTTTTCCTGAAGACAGACCAAGACTGAGAGTTAAAAAATCTTGCAGGAGAGGTGAGGCTGGATCCCTAATTTATTTGTGGACGCTTATTACTTGTTCTATCAACTAATTTAAACCTCATTTGATTCTATGAAGGAGGTGCTGTTGATATTACTACCTCCAATTTATGGATGAGGAAACTGAGGCACAGGGAGGTTCCAGATCTTGCCCAAGGTCACGCAACTCCTGAGCAATGGAAGCTGACACCAGATTCTGTCTCTTAACCACCTGACTATGCTGATGGATCCCTGGGGGTGGCTTTCCACAGCCTCCTGCTAACCTGACCCTTGTCAAAACGTATTTCCTGATGGAGGGATGCAGGAAACAGGAAGGATGTGGGAGGGCAGTGGTGTGAGGCCAGTGCACTAACCTGCTGCCCACTCCCCCATCTCTTCCAGGCTTCGCTGGTCCTGCAGGTGTCCTACACGCCTCTCCCTGGAGCTGTGCCCCTGTTCCCACCCCCCACTCCTCTGGAGCCTTCCCCAACTCTGCCTGACCTGGATGTGGTGGCTGGTGAGGAGCCCACCCTCGGCCTGGCAGGGCCCCTGGCAAGAAGGCTGGCAGTGGCACCTGAGCTTGGGGGTTGGGGGCTGCAGTGGGGCTTCGTGGCCTTTGCTGCCTTCCCCAGGTTGGGGGCTGCCCATGCCTGGAAAAGAGAAGATGCGGGTGGGTGGGGGTCCTGAGAGCTGCCTTGTGCCATGAGGAGAAAAGGGATGGGAGGCACGATCCCTCGAGTACTGCTGGGAGTGGCGCGGGGTGGGGGTGTTCTGCACTGAGCAGTTCTGAGATGGGTGTACCGGGATGGGGTCTGTCCCAGGTGATACTCCCCGGAACTGAAAGCTTCCCCACCCTGGCACTCAGCAGTCCTTTAGTAATGGTTTGACAAAAGAGCTATTTTTTCCTTGGGAGAGCCCTGAGCTGAAGTTAGGGGACATGAGTTACAGTCTTGCCTTCAACACTGAGTAGCTGTGTGCCTTTGGGCCAGTCACTCTCCCTTTCCACACCTACAGATCACCATTTCTGAAATGAGCAGACCGAATTAGCTAAATCCTGCCTCAACTCTCCTCACTTGTCCCTGCTGGGCTCGTCAAACGAGGACCCAGCCCAGGGTGGCTGGCTTGCCAGTGGTGGGCCGGGGCATGGAAGCTGGTGGCCTCCGTATGGTCCAACCTGCTGGGGTGGGGAGGCAGCCACACAGATGGGCCAGTGTGGACTTGCCCACACAAAAGATCCTTGAGTTTCTGTCACAGTGAAGGGAGCTAGAAGCAAATACAACCTTAAAGCCCGTGCAGACCCTGTCTTAGGAGTGCCCCGAGCCTGTCCTGGAGGCCAGTCTTTGCAGGGCTCTGCAGTGAGGGCAGCAGAAAGGGCCATCGTCTTGGGGCTCAGCTTAGAGATGGGAGATCAGTCTGGACTGGGGTAACCCAGGAAATCCTGAGCTGGACTAGAGCTGGAATAGGCTCAGGGGAGGAAGACGGGGCATTCCCGGTGACAGAGGGTGGGGAGGGGGAGGGCCCCAGATACTCTGGGACCACATGGACGTGGGTCTGACAGAGTTAGGTTTGGCTGGTCAGGGTAGGCTCCCAGTCCTGCCTGGAAGGTGGTGAGAAGGGACAGTCCCTCCCAGACATGGCAGCTGTTTCTGGGCTTTGTGCCAGGCTGGGGTGGGTGGAGAAGGCAGGGGCAGGGTTGGGGTGCAGCAGGTTGGCTTTCCTCACCCCAACTCCCTCCTGCCCCTCCTGGGGCTGTGCCCTGCCCACGTGCCAGGCGGGGGACAGAGCCGGGCCGAGACTTGGTCCCTGCTTAGTGACAGCACCGTGGACACGAGATACTCTGGGAAGAAGTGGCCGGCCACCATGGGTGAGACGTGGGCCAGGGCTGTCCCCATCCCAGATCCTACTGCCTGTAACCGTCTCACATGTGCCATGCTCAGCTCACTGAAGTGTGGCAAGGTGGCCAGAAGGCTCATCCTGCAGGACTTGGTGGGTGGGGAGGTCTAGGGCCATTCTCTTGCCTTCCTGTTGACTAACTGGACTGACTGCCTTCAAGTTTCAGCTGCTGGAAGCTCCTTTTCTTTCTACCTCATCCATCCTGGCTTGCCGATGGGGAGGGGAGGGAAGGGAACAGGGGAGGTGGGTGGTTGGTATTAGTGCCCCTGCCCTTCGCATCCCCAGATGAAGGACCCAGCCCTCATTGGCACCCTCTCCTCCCAGATACAGGAGGAGAGCAGGACACCGAGGACCAGGGGCTCACGGGAGATGAGGCAGAGCCATTCCTGGATCAGAGTGGCGCTCTAGACCCGGGGGCTCCCACCAGCCCCAGGAAGCCACCTTCTCATCCTCCCCCCTACCACCCTGGGAGCAAAAGAAAGAGACGCGCGCCCACGCCCAAAAAGCTGCTGTCAGACAAACCGCAGGACTTCCAGGTGACGGGTGGGCTCTCCCTGACCCCAGTCTCCTCCTTTAGCCCTTCAGCAGCTGTGGTGCTGGGCACCGGCCTGGTCTGTCCAGCCTCAAAGGCAGATGTGCATGGGATCCTAAGGGTCCTCCTGGGCAGGTTTCCCTGGGCCCTGGGCAGGTGCTGAACAAGGAACTCACATCTTGAGTCCTCAGGATAAGCCTTGGCTCAACCCCAAGATTTTGCTCTCAAAAAAAAAAAAAGAAAGTCACTGTAGAGTTTCAGCCTGTCTTTGCATTTCTTTTGTTTCACTAACCAGGGATTGTCTAGCTAGCTGGCTTCTTGCTACTGAAAGTGCGATCTGTGTCCATCAGCATCAGCATCACCAGGTCCTTGTTAGAAATGCAGAATCTCTGGCCCCACCCAGACCTGCTAAATCAGAATCTGCATTTTAACAAGATCCCTAAATCTAAGAAGCTTTGTCTAGCGTCTTGTTTCTCCCTATATCCATGCCTCTACCTATAGCTATATATTTTTCTGAAAGTCATGTGGAATTTGAATTTGTTCAATCTCTTCATGGAATAAAAAGTATTAATAGTAAACCTTTGATACGATCTTATCCAAAAATCTGTCTCATTTTACTTGCCTTTTAATTTT